CAAGGAAGCCACCAAAGAAAGGAAAAATTTCCAAATAAACATCTCCCAGTGAAAATACAGAACAGAGGTGGGGGGGGCCAATTAATAATGATGATGATGATTGACAGATAGCATTTATATAGTTCAAGGTTCACTAGTTCTTCACACATATTATTCACATTCTCTACAACAACCTTGTAAGTTGGTGATGCTATCTATTATTTCCATTTTACAGATAAGGAAATTGGGGTTGAGAGAAGTTACATGAACGAGGAAGTGTCTAAGATAGGATTTGAACTGAGGTCTTCCTGATTCTATATTCTATTTTATATTAAATATTCTCTCCACTGTGCCACCTAGATGCTATGAATAGATGGGATCCTTCATTGTCAGCACAGTGAATGGAAAGACAGACAAATAGGACTCATATTTTCCTGGATGGCTAGTGTTCCTCTATGCCTTGGAACTGTAACCAGGGCCCCTGCTCCCATGTGGCCAACCACAAGCACTCTTTTCCACCCTGGAACTTAGACCCCAAATTGTGCATTGGCAATTGAGTTGCTACTCAGCATCAGCTGTACCCAGTGCCAGAAAAGGGTCTCCTGTAATCTCTGAATCAGTTAGTTCTTTCATACATGTACCTTGGATAGATACAGTATTTCAGATGAATAATAAGCAATGCCCAGAATTTGAAAGGAGAAAGGAAGAAAGTTGTATTAAAAAACAGGGCTTTTTTCCCCCTGCTGCTAATCTGTGGATTTTGTCCATCTATGTCATGTCATTTGAATTCAGAAGTTCTGGATAGTTTTCTTGTATTATATCCTGTCTTGTAGTGTTCAAGTTTTTTTTTTTTTTAAATTGTCATATTGTCCTAGGAGACCAAGTTATCTCTGCACATGCTGTCTTTGAGGTTAGTCACTTCAGCTTGTATAAAGTTCAGGTGTTCTTTTAGCATTGTTGCTTTTGACTTTTATCCTGGAAAATTTTAATCCCCTTTCATATTTTTGTATTTCAAATCTATTAATGTTTTTTTTTTGCTTATTTAAGGGGATTCTCCATAGTGGATTCAGTACCTTTTCCAACTCTAATAATTTGTCTTTTAACTATTCTGTATTGAGAGCTTTTATTACTGATCTACAATTATTCTTAATTTCTTCTTTTATGAATTTTATTTCCCTTTTGAACCATTCTGGAGTTTCTTGTTCTTTTTTGCAGAATCTAGCTCATTCTCCAGCTCATTTTACAGGTGAGAAAACTAAGGTAAACAGGGTTAAGTGACTTGCATAGGGTCACACAGCTAGTAAGGGTATGAGACCAGATTTCAACTCAGGAAGATAAGTCTTCCTGATTCCAAGCCCAGTGCTCTATCCACTGTACTACCTAGCTGTTCCTAAGTTTGGTTTATTGGTTGCAAAAGAATAATCATACAAATCCTGGATGTTTGCCCACATGCCCACCAGGGGTATCCCTTCCCCCAAGAACAAGAGGGGATGTGCACATATCTAGCAGTTGGTCCAGTTAAAAGCACTGCTGGCATGTTGGATCAGATGCACAAAAGTGTTGGGCTCCCCTGTTCTCTCTCTTAGTCTGTAGACTTTGGCAGTTCAAGAAACTCAATCTGCAGGTTAATCAGGGGTTGCATCCTTTTGGGGCAGGCTTCACAGGGGAGTGATGTATCCAGGTCCTCCACTTGGCAACCTTGGTGTCACAGAATTTGGAAAAGCCTCTACCTAATGGTCTCTGCACACCAAAACATCTCTTCATCCATAGACTTTGTCAGTTCAATAAAGTCAATCTGCAGGTATTCAAAAGGCCAATCTCTTCCTTCCCCCTTTTTGTCACAGTTTTTTTCCTTAAGGAGTTAAAATGTTGGTAAGAAAGGCAGTTAGAGACCACATGATGGGCCTCTGCATAAACCCCATGGGCAAACCATGACCAGCAAACTTGCAGTACAAGGATCTCAGCTCCCAAATTGTCACCCGTCCAAGCAGAAATGGTAAGCAGCTTACACAATAGGTAACAGCTCCACAACACACATAGAACTAATAAAACAAGCAAAATTGCACCGGGTGAATAAAGAAACCCAATAAAGCTGCAGCCTTAGGGGTTTCAAGTACTTTGGCAGTGTCTATGATCTTCAGGAGTCTAGTAAGCATCTTTTGGGCATCTCTTAAACAGCTGTTCATAGTTCAGGGCAGGTTTGTGGAAGTATTTCCTTGACCATCTCTAGGTTTCAGGTCACTTGTGGAGATTCTCTAGGTAATGCTAGTGAAAAGACTTAGTGTAATTTAGTAACGTGATAAAAATCTAATCAGATTGGCCTTCCAGTAATTAGCTCATGTGGTGAAAACCTGTTCAGACCTTATGGACCTAATTCTACTACAATAGAGCTATAAAAACACCATTTTTAGGAACTCATAATTCACCTGAAATTTCAGAGAACTTCAGTTTTTACACAGCACTTTCTCTTTCTATCTTTACCCTGTATCTGATATGGACAACATCATCTACAGGCTGAAAGAAGGCCTGATGTGTTAAATGAACCCTCCTGTCCCTTCATATTATGAAACAGAGAGGGAGGAGAAAGTGAGGTTGGTGGCCTTGCACAGCCCTCCCTCACTCAAATCAAAGTCAACAGCAAGTCATGTCATCATCTCCCTGATGTCATGATCCTCTTCAAGAATGAAAGACAAACACAACAAGCAACAACAATCAAACAGAAAATTCAAAGTAGGGGTAAAAGATTAATTTAAAATCTCTTTACAATTGTTAATGCAATTTTATATGTAAAATCCTTAATCCAATTTTAGAACTTATTACTAGAACATATTCAAAGCTTATATTTTCATTAGAAACATTTTGAAGCCAATTGTGTGTGTACCTCCTAGCCCTTAAATTTCTAACAGTTTGATATTATTGCCTTTCCAAAGTTTACTACTCCAGTAAATTTATAAACACTTTTATACCTTTATCCTATCCTTCATTTTGAGGATACGTACATATGAAACACACACACACACACACACACACACACACACACACACACACATATATGTCTCTCTGTGTATAATTTCCTCATAACATCCTGAAAGAACAAGATACTCAAGAGCCTAATCTTATACATGAATATATAACTATTAGTAAGGGGATGGCAAGCCTAAGAACTCATTTACTTAATTGCTCAGGATATGGAGGTAGCCATTGAAAATGATAGGATCTATTCCATTATAGTAACTCAGGCATCTTTAGTATTAATATATTAATTAATATATTAAGCATTGCAATGACAAAACTTCTACTCTTTACCTACCCTCATAATATAAATTTGCTATGGAAAGAAGAGGGAGGGGCACGGTTATGACTATAGCAATACTGTCCCTTTAAGAGACTGATCTGACTGATCTGACATAAGCCATAACAGGGGAAAAACTCCTTTACTTCTATTTGTTTCCAGGTAAAAGTCACAGTTTATAGTGAATCATATGCTAAAGCCCCACATTATTCACAGGATATCAAAGCCAGGCTCAGAATTAACCAGGTGGGAAAATTTCCTATTCACAAAGGAAATAACACAATGGAGAAACTGGTTAAAGAGAATCCTACCTTTGCCTATGCAAGATCATCCTTTCAACTTTCCCATGCATAGACATTCACCTGTAGCACTTCTCAGACTACATTCCCTTTGACTAGGACATAGCATTCTCCTTGAATGGTGTACTTAATGAAAATTAATTGATGGACTTAATGGTGGAATTAATGGCTTAGTGACAATTCTGACAATCAAGACAATCACATCAGAAATCAAAACTCAAAATGATATCAAATTATAGTCCGAAAAGATTTTGCTTCAAGTAACAAAATTTCACTAAGGGCAGCTTAGGGCTAGGATATTATCTTCTTTATGTCGTAATAGCAGTTAACAATGATTACACAGAAGGACATTTCATTTACCCTTTATTTATAGATTAAGGATAATAACACTCCAGAGTTTCACACATACTGCAAATACGTGTTAGTCGACTCAAAACCCCAGAAAAATGCAGATTACAGCAAGCCTCCAATCTGTATTGCCTCTTTACCCCTCATGTAAAATGAAGTCATTGAATCTAATCTATTGTTACTAAGTTGGTTCAAAGATGTAACTTCAATACTTACTATCCATTAATAGATACAATTTCATAATTTTCATAAGCAATGGTCAAATAATTTCAGATGAAACTCTCTCTTTACTATAAACAAACTTCTAAGTCCCCCTACTTCACCTTGAAGCAGTCCTGGTTTCTCAGACTTCATTATTTTAGCATTTTATAACATTTTGTCAGCAGGACTGAGAGGATCTTACGACTCTACCTGAATAGAAAGTCTTAAAAACTTCACAGATAAGGACAACTTAAGAGGCCTTTGCTACTTCTCCCCTCCCTCCCCAAACAACAAGTTAGTATTATTATGCCCAATTATACCCAAACGATATTATGTAAGGTAAAATATACCCAACGAAATATTTAACAGTTTTCAAACATTGTGACCACATTCTTTGATAGCTCAATTCATAAAGTATCAGTATCCAGATGAAAAAGGAAGTAGCTTTCCTAATGATAGGATTGCAGCACTTTCTGGGTATCATCACTATATCTTATACTAATGCTTTCCCAAATTCCAAAATTCAAGAAAAATTAGAAGCCCAACAATGACATGAACAATATCATGAATTTTAAAAACATAACACACAACTTTTTTTTTCCCAGTCAAATAATATCAATTCTTTTAAATGAAGGTCAAATCTTTACAAATAGAAAATTGCCATCTATCAATTTGTCATTCTATATCAATCCTATTCAAAACCCAGCAGAGAGTACTTATATTTAATAAAATAATAAATAGCTAACATTTATATAGTATTTACCATGTGCCAGCAACTGTGCTAAGCACTTTGCAATTATTATATCATTTGATCCTCACAACAACCCTAAGAAGTGGGTGATATTATTATCCCATTTTACTGATGAGGAAAAGGAGGCAAACAGAGGTGAAGTGACTTGCTTAAGGTAAGAGAGCTAATAGGTTTCTGAGACTGGATTTGAAATAGGTTTTCCTGATTCACGTATTTTCCAAGCCTATTGCCTTGATATCAAATATATTCTCCACTAAGTTCTAATTTATTACAACAATCCTAATAGGAGAACATGTCCCAGTGTAAATGAGACCACAATATAATTTAGTTTCAGAACAAACTTCAACCAAATCAACTATGGATTTACAATTACAAAGGGTAACATTCAAAATCTTAATTTTCCCAAGGGTCATGTGATCAAATTTTAGAGCCCACTGCTTTCATTTAGCTCATTTTCAAAAGACATGTGGTGGCAGTCTCACATTCCCACCCTCCTCTTTTGGAGACAATGGGGCTCTAAGGATTAGGATATAACCTTCAAATGGTCCTTCAAGGATAGAGTTTTTGTATGCTATACTCAAATAATTTCATGCTACAAATTTGTTTCTATGTTTTCCATTTGGTGAATGTTACAGCTTGATAGAAAAATTGTCTAAAAATTACTAACAGGCATTTCCCTAATTCACAATTCTACAAACCAGGAAAAAGATTTCTGTCCTTTTCTTGTTTGTCTTTATCTCTGTAATCTCCAGCCTGGCCAAGGCTGTGAAGGCAGAAAGAAAGAAAGAATCACACAGTTTTCCTGATGGGGAAGGACCTCGGCAGTCAAGTCCAAGGACAAGGGTTCAGAGGGAAAGGATATTCAAAAGAACATCACTAAATTCACTATAAAATCCTCAGCATCCTTCCTCCTCCACCTTGAAGTCCAGACAGACAGACAGACAGACACAGAGACAGAAATGGAGGGCCCCAGTCCAGCAAAGGTCTTAGTCTACAGATTCCATATTCAATCAGAATCTGAGACATTTCCCAGGGTGATTTGATCTTCAAGAAGTCAAGAGATCAGTCATCCAGGGACTGAGCTAGACTAAGTTATGCCACTGGGACAATCAAGGGCAAGTTGGTCAGTTCCTCAAACCCCACTCTCCTGCAGGCCTGAATGTCTATGACACCATTGGACTAAATTCTCCCCTTGCTCTGCTGTCTCATTGCTGACTGTTCATCACTCAGGTCCGGCTCCTCTAAGTCACTCCTCACATCATTCTTTGCCTGAAAACCAGAGGGACAATCAATCGATAAACATCTATTAAGCCCAATACCGTGCAAATCAGTGGAGAAACCAAGACAAAAATACAGGGCCCTGCCCTCAAGGAATTTCCATTCTATCAGGAGAACCAGCATGCACTTATAAAACTATATGCAGAGTATATGCAAAATAAATGAACAGGGAAATTTTGAGATGAGTGGTAGTAGAAATTGGAGGTGGGGAGGAAATTAGGAAATGTTTAATTTAGGTAATGCTTGAGTTGAGTCTTAGAGGAAATAAGGAATTTTAAGAAGTGGAAGATGGGGATTACATTTCAGGCATGGGGGAACAGCTTGTGCATAGATGCAGAGATGGAGATAGATCGATACTGGGTGACGGACAGCAAGAAGGCTGGTTTGGCCAGACAGAATTGTGGGTAAAACCATGGGAGCAATGTATAGTGAGGCTGGAAAACTAGACTGGGGCTGAGTGGTACAAAACTTTAAATGACAAATAGAGTCTATACTTTCTTCTGGTGTTAATAGGGAGCTAGGGATGGCCACTGTTACTTTGCCATTGATCCTGCCTGCTGTTTCACCCTCTGGACTACTGGACCTTGCATTTATCCTGGCACTGTATGGGCCCTCAAGCCCCCTTTACCTTATTTCCAGCTTTGAAACATGTATCAATATTCCATTGCTCCAGGAAAGGGCATGTTCATCGACTGTGACGCTGTTCACTATCCCAATAGCTTCCCAAATGAGACAATGTTTATAAAGTGCTGTGCAAACCTGAAATCACTACATAAATGCTTGCTATTATTCTCCAACCAAAACAAACCTCTCTGGCTACCACTGTCCTCTGTGTGTTGTCTCCCCTTTCTTAAGGGTACTGTCTCAATTTTTTATTGGTATCTCTGGAGCTTAGTACAGTGTTTAGGCTTTTAATGAGTGTTTTTTTTTAATTCATTCATTCATTGGGGAGGAGAGTTTATTCTTTATTCAGTGAATGAATTTATCACCAAGTCTGGGCCCTGGTGACTATTAGCAATCAACAACCAGCGGATTCTTCTTTCTTCCAATCTGAATAAGCTCAGTGTCTACTCACCCCGAACCCACCCCAAATTCCTACCTTCATACTAGAGGACTTTGATATATATGCTGATATTCTCTTAAATAACCCAACTTTCCAACTCAATTATTCAACTCCCATGACCTACTCCTCTCCACCTAAGTCACACATAGAAATAAATGGCCATCCCCTTGAGCTTGCCATTATCCAGAAATATTCCACTTTTCTGTCCACAAATTCTGAGATTCACTTATCCAATCATCATCTTTTATTATTCTATCTTTTCCTCTGCTTTACAATGCCCAAATGTTCTTTTTCACTGTGACCTCCAATTTCCCTTACCTCTCAGTTCCTTATCAGGTTATCATCCTTGCACTGGCTACACTCTCCTTTCTTTTCTGTTTTGACCACTTGGTAAATTGGTCCAACTGGATGGTATCTTCTCTATTTGAATCTCTTGCCTCCTTGTCCTATTAGCTATCACGCTTTGCACAACCTTAACCTTGGATTACTCCCACCATCCATCTCCTTTGTTCCTATTCACACGCTACTGAATAGAGATTGAGAAAATCACAAGATCATAATCACTGCGATTTCCTGCAAATGTGTTACACATCCTCAACTGAGCACTCACTGAAGAAGAAAATCCTTTTATACTTTCCTGACTGATTTGCTAGACCACTCACCACGATGGAAATTCCAGACCTTTTCATCCCTCCTCAAGACTCCCACAGCACTCTTCCCTTTACTCTCTCAGGGGAGGACCTCACCTCCTTCTTCACTGAAACAAGTGAAGTCATGCAATGAGAACTCTCTCATCTCCCCTCCTTCTCTTCTCATATCACTCAGGCATCTTCTCCCATCATCTCCTCCTTCAACATTCTCTCACATAAAAATCGTGGCCTTTCTCCCTGTCAAGGCAAATCCCTTGACATGCACCCTTGATCCCATCTCTTCCCATCATCTTTGGCATACTGTCCTCTCTACCATCTCCTTTCTCTCTGGCCTAACCCGTGCTTTGGGAAAACCACTTCTCAGCTGTGTGAAGGATAAATGAGATCATTTAGGTGAAAGGTGATGAGGACCTGCACTAAGATGACGGGTGTGGAAGTTGAGAAGGAGAACTTAGAAGGGTGAGATATTGTCGAGGTGGAAGTGACAAGATTCGGCACCTGATTAAATGTGTAGGATGAGATAGAGTGGAAAAGAAGGATGGCAAGATATGGGGTAAAAGAAATGAGAAAGAGGGGGATGAGGAGGGAAGGAAAATAGAGGAAAGAGAGAAAGAGAGAGGGGAAGAGAGAGAGGAGAGAGGAGAGGGAGAGGGAGAGGGAGAGGAAGAGGAACAGAGAAAGGGACAGAGACAGAGAGAGAGATTGGGAAAGGCAAAAATCAAGGACAAGGACAATGGGTAAGATATGTTACTGGCACTACTTGGGTGCCTATTGGCACTAGGATGCCAGCCTTGAGTCCCCATGCTCTTCTATTTGTTTTTATTTTTAGGCAACTGGGGTTAAGTGACTTGCCCAGAGTCATACAGCTAGTAAGTGTTAAGTGTTTGGTTTGAGGCTGGATTTGAACTCAGGTGACTTCAGAGCCGGTGCTCTATCCACATGCTCTTTTACCTCCAGTACCTTTTCCCTTTTCCCCCATTCTCCCCTGCTGCTGGTCATGGGTTGGGGGGATGGTCAATGGGCTGGGGACAGATTTGTACTTACCTGGCCCTCTGATAAAAACCTGTAGAACATTCTGAGGATGAGGAAAGACCAGTAGACATTGAGACCCTGCAGGACCATCAGAAGGGTAATGGCAAAATAGTATCCAAAGAAGAACTTAGATCTGGTCTGGGCAACATAGTAGGTGGTATAGAGGACTCTGCAAGAGAGAAAGAGAGAGAGAGAGAGAGAGGCAGACACAGAGAGAGACAGAGAGACAGAGGGAGTGACATAAAGAGACAGAGAGACAGAGAGAGACAGGGAAAGAGAGACAGAGAAAGAGACAGGGAGAGAGAGAGACACAGAGAGAGAAATTGAGGGTCACAATGTGGGAAGGGGAAGAAGCAGGCTGCCAGAGCTTAGACCCCTTGGTCATCAGAAATACCCCCACCCAACCCCAAAGAGATGGGAGGGGCAGAGTGAAAAGCCTATCCTAAAAAAGAACATCCTAAAAGGACCCCTAGATGCCCCTGGTCTGACTTTATCCCATCTTTCTCACACATAGATTTTTCAGGCAGGAGACTCACTCCTCTTTCTAGAAGGCAGCTCTTGGCAGCAGAAGGTCCCCAGGACTCAGACCTTTTTCCTCCTTCCTGCCCTCATCCCACTTCACCTCTTAGGCCCAGGCTCACTTTTTTGGGAAGAGAATGAGTCTGGTAACCAAGAACACCAGGGTAAAGCAGATGAATATGGCATCCCGAGCTTGCCTCCACTGTGCATAACTTAGCATCTTATAAGCCTGGGAAGAGACAACAGAGGGAATTTTAGTAACACATAAACTCTGAGTTGAGAGACACCTCAGAGGATACCTAGTGAAACCTATAGTTGTCCAAGAGTCACCCTTGATAAGTAATCATTTCACCTGGAGGCCTACAATGATGGGGAACTCATGTCATACATTCAACTTTCAGAGAGTTTTGTGCCTTAGGAAGCTTTTTCTTTTTTTTTTCTTTTTTCTTTTGGCTAGGCAATGGGGTTAAGTGACTTGCTCAGGGTCACACAGCTAGTGATGTGTCTGAGGCCGGATTTGAACTCTGGTCCTCCTGAATCCAGGGCCGGTGCTCTATCCACTGTGCCACCTAGCTGCCCCTGGAAGCTTTTCTTATATGCAGCCTAAAGATTCCCCTTGGAGGGTGGGCTTTCAGGGCCTTGACCAGTGAGAAAAAACCCCACTTCATTTTTAAAAATTTTGGATAGGGCAGAACTAGTCACAGAATAAATAGACATGAATGGTTTGTGACATTCATTGTAGATCTTATCCCCCTCAAATCTTCCCCTTCCCAGGTCTTCTCCATTTCTTTTGAAGGCACCACATCACTTGTCACTCAGATTTGAAACCTCACTGTCATCCTTGACTCTTCCCTTTTGCCACGCCCCCACCCAACATACACATATCCAAGCAGTTGCCACAACATTTCTCAACTATATCCTCTTATCTCCAGTTACACTGCTAACAGAATTAGGGTTAGCTCCTCTTGCCTGGATTACTGTAAGTCCCCTCTTCAGTGGATCCCCTGCCTCAAGTCTCTCCCCACTCCATTCCCTTCTCCACTGAACTGTCAAAGTGATCTTCCTAAAGTACAGGTCTGACCATATCACAACCTTACTCAAAAACTCTAACGGCTCCTTGCCACTTCCAGGATCAAATATAAATCCATGTGTGCTGCATTCAAAGCCCTTCATGATCTAGCCCCAACCTACTTTTCTACTCTTATTTGTCACATTTCTGCATTCTGCTCTTTAATCAAGTTAGTCTATTTCCTGTTCCTCAGACTCATACAAAAACATTATTAAAGTATACAAACAATAGCACGAATGTATATAGCATGGAACAAATATCATTTTGTTTTATCTTCACCACCACCTTGGGAAGTAGGTGCTATTTTTATCCCCATTTTACATATGAGGAAGCTGAGGCAGAGAGAGGTTAAGCAACTTGCCCAGAATCACACAATTAGAAGCTTCTGAGGATTTGAACTCGGATCTTTCTGACTCCAGTGGTCTACCTAATTTAACATATGAAGCCATCATAAAGAAAGAGGAATAGATATATGCTGAGTACTCTCTGCAATGTTGAAATCACAGACAATTCACTTTTGCTTGTTATTTTTGCATCAAAACGACTTTGTTCCCTGACAGTCATGACTTACTGTTGTATTTTGGATATCTTGATAAAGCATTATCTTTTTTTTTTTTAAAGGAATTACACCTGCTTGACTAGCTATATTGATCTAAGTAACTGATTAAGAACTAATTAATGTATATTATGTATCATATATTAATATATGATAACTAATTAATAACTAATAACTAAGTAACAAGGACAGGGCCTAGATCTGTGATTTCATTGGTCTAGAAAGCTCTGGGATGAAGAAACTCCCCTGCCCCACCATGCATTTGGGTTGGCACCTTTGCATAGGACAGTGGTGTCAAACTCAAAGAAGACAACCGGAGTAACTAAACCTGACATCAGGATTCCTCAGCTGCATATTGACTTAGAAAACCACATATTAACATTGTCTATGTTCTATTGTATTTTTAGTTACTTTGTTAAATATTTCTCAGTTACGTTTAATCTGGTTCCCACTGCATCTTGGAGTGTTGCCAGCTGCTGCCTCTGGTTTAGTGCACTGAAAGATTCAGAGATTTGTCCAGGGTCACAGAGCCAGTATATGTGAGAGGTGAGACCTGAACGCAGGCCCACCTGTATTTCAGTTCAGCTTTTTTTTTTTTAACTGACAAGGCATACTCAGGATTAAAAAAAAAATGAATCGTATTAAATCACATTTCTCTCATAAAGTTTTTTGTACATTGATAATTTTTAAATTTTTACTTGTTTTATTTTTCTTTTCCTTTTGAAATTGATATTTGTGTGTTTTATTATGTATTAATATTAGTAAAAGGGAAATGCCAATACTTTATAAATAAAGGCACACATGGAGGAGATGCAAGCTCAGAAAGTATTTTACCCAGAAGGATGTGAAATCACACGAGCTTGGCGACTTCTGTGCTAGATGTTCTCAAGTTTGTTAGTTCCTAAAATTCCTGCCTGACTACTGACAGTTCTCTATGGAAAAGTATCTTTCTTCCTTTGTAGGGAAGGGGGGGGCAGCATTAGCAGGTTGGGGCTAAGAACAGCCTTCTACACAAGGTGATGCTTGAACTGAGTTTTGAAGGAAGCCAAGGATTCTACAAGGCAGAGGTAAGGAGGGATGGCACATTCCAGGCCAGAGAGGCAGGGCAAAAATGAAGAGGCAGGAGATGAGTACTGCGTGTGAGGAACTACAAGGAGGCCAGCATGTCTGGACCTTACAGTTCATGATGGGGAATACAGCTTAATTAAACTGGAAAGACAGGAAAAGGTCAAGTTCTGAAGATCTCCAAATGCCAAATAAAGGTTGTTTTAGTTGATCCTAGAGGTACTAGGGAGCCACTGGAATTTGCTGAGTAGGGAGGGGGGGTGACATGGCCAAAATTATACTTTAGGAAAATTACCTTGACAGTTTTATGGAGAATGAATTGGAGTGGGGAGAGATGAGTCAGAAAGATCAATTATAAGACTATTGCATTAATCTAAGTGATTAGTGATGAGGGTAGCAGCTGTGTGAGAGAAAGGGAGGTATGTGTGAAAGACACGGTGGAGATAATGAGTGGAGTGAGGCTGAGGAATCAAGAATTTCAACCAATCAATAATATTTATTAAGTACCTACTTTGTGCCAGGCACTGTGCTAAATGCTGGGGATACAAACAGAAGCCAATGAAGTTCCTCAAGGAGCTTACAATGTAATGGGAGAGACATATCAACATATCAACATACCAACATACCAACATGCCAACAAACATACAAAGCAAGTTATCTACAGGATACGTAAGAAATTCAAGATTCTGAGCCTAGGTGACTGTAATGCCCCTAGCAATAAAAGGTAAGTTGGAAGAGAGGAGACTTTGGGGGGAAACATAATTGACTCCTGCTTTGAAAATGTTCAGTTGATGTTTGAATTTGATGTTCAATTCAAAATGTCCAATAGGCAGTTAATGACTTAGGACTGAACCTCAGGAGAGACACTAAAATTGGGTATATAGCTTCCAGAAGTTTCCCCCAACAGAGATAATCATTGAATCAATGGGAGCTGATGAAATCTCGAAGTGTGAAAGTACAGAGAAGAAAACAGAAGAGAGCCCAGGACAGAGCCTGGGGACATATCCATAGTGAATGAGCATGACATAGAGGAAGAGCCAGCGGAGGAGACCAAGGAGGAATGGTCAGCCAAATAGAAGGGAAGTCAGGAGAGCAGAATTACACAAATCCAGAGAGGAGAGGATATTTGGGACAACTGAACACAATATTCTAGATACAGTCTGACCAAGACAACCCATGGCAAGACTGTATTTTCCATATACTCACATGGCTACTTATTGTCTTCCTTGATAGAAAGTAAACTCTTTGAAGGCAGAAGCTTTTCTCTTTTGTCTTTGTATTCCTCATTCCTTGCACAGCCCCTGGCATTTAAGGCACTTAATAGATATCTGTTGATTAATGGATGGATGGATGGATGTCTGGATTAACTGTTACCTCCTCTGTTTTGGTCACTGGGTCTTTCCAAATGCAGCTCAAACTGCATTAACTTCTGTGGTTGCCAGTGTCATATCCTGAACTCCCATTGGACTTTCTATTGACTAACCCTTCAGGGCTTTTCCAAAGAAAGCATTATCCAGACACACCTCACTATCTTGTGCTTGCAAAGCTGATTTTCCCACTTGCATCAACAACCCTTTGCTCTGTGTATCCTCTGTCCTGGAGCTGGATGTTTTGGGATGCTGGTGGACCTCCAATCTTCCAGGTTCCAGGCTCCCTCACTTTCTGCCACGAGTGCATTAGCAAAGCCATGATTGATCCTTTTAGCCAAATTTATTCAGGCACTCTGTGGCCTGGGTAGGTCTACAGAATTATGTCCACCCTTACCCAACTTTCCTCCTCTTTCAGTTCTACCCCCTGCCCAGACTAATATATCTTCCTCTTTAACCCTGACTCACCCATGACTCCTCCCAAGTCCTGATTATAGAGAGAAGAACTGGAGGATGCCGGGCTGCAAGAGGTCTTAAAACACAGAGGCCCCCACAAGAAGGCTAAGCAGGCACCCTGATGACTGTACTGCTGCATGAACCGCTCACAGGTAGGACTGGTGATTGACAATTATTTTGGCCTTTTACTGAAGGACATAGACTAGTGTAGAATGATATAGCAACTCCTGATTAGTCCTCACAACTAGGGTACTGACTGTCCACAGAAAATGAGAAAGATAGAGTTGGGATGGAACCTTGTTCCCTGAAGTGGGCCAAGAGAATTGTGGAAACATCTGTGTCAACTCTCCTTTGGGGCCCTTCACTGTCAGGTTCTTTGCTAACACTCTTACTCCCTTGAACTTCCAGCAAGGTTGGGGAAGGGATTTCTCTATCATCCATGTCTCTGCAGGGCAGGTCTTAGATCAGGGAGCCTGAGAAATGGTTATTTCTACCCTTGGTGGTAGCCTTATAGGAAAAGAGTTCCAGTGTTCTGAATTCACACGTCAGAAGAGAAGGGTTTCTCAGAGAAGACAGTCATTCCTATAATAGTCCTGCAGCTGACGGACCAAAGTAATCCATGCCCTGGCTGGTTAGGAGATCTAGATCTTGACAATGAAAGCCTGAGGTCAATGTGAAATATCTGTGCCATTGTTACACAAAGGTCCTGCGCCTTTCAGGAGGAGTAAAATGAGTACAGAGAGCTAATGGTGATGTTTTATGTTTCTGTATGGTCAGTGCCGCTATAATGTCTTTTGAAAATGTGAATTTGTTCCAACATGATTGATATATTAGGGAATACTTCGAGCAGAACAGAAATTTCAAGTTTGCTTCTACTCAATTTCTTCTGTAAGAAACAGTGAGAGAACCCAAAAAATGTTACCACTTCACAGTCACTGAGAAGCTGCAACCTTTCCTGACAACCACCTCCACAACTGACCTTCAGATCTCTGTCAAGGTAAATTGTCATTGTGCATATTCCACAGTACAGTAGGAGCTAAGAGCAGAGAAAGGCTCGTCTATACCACTTCCACCTTTGCCCCTATTCCCTTCTGCCATGCCCTCATGCCAACTTGTTTGTGCACCTAGGGCCCAGGTGGAGCTGCAACCCAAAGCCAATGGCACAACCTCCATTTTTTGTACTATTTATGTATTTCTTAATCATTTAATATGCATAATTATGTGTATCATTTATTAGGTTTCTTTTTTGTGTGTGTGTCACTGATTTTTTGAGTTCTGTGCCTTTAACTCCATTATCCTCCTAAGTTCTGTGTTTTTTATTGGGCAATTTTGGATGGCATGGTATTTCTTGGGAATGCTTATGTCACATTATAGCAGAACTAACTCTGTTTGCTAATGAGCACTTGGGAGTCTTTTGCATCAGACATTATTTGTGGTGGGGGAAATAAATAGCTTTCCTATACCTAATACTCATATTGTATAATGAGGGTACCCAGTTAATGTGCCTCCTCCCCTATTTTGGGGAGACCCTAGATATGAACCATAGCTAAATCTGGTTTTTAGAGATTTCCCTGGACTTTTACTCTCTGGTAAGGATATATAGCCAGAGAGAAAAAAGTCCCACCTCTTTGCCATCATTCCCTTCCTCTCCAGGGATGGAGTCAGGTACCTGTGGTCCTTGAGTCTCTCTTTCAGTTAGGGCCCTTGGGCCACTAGATACAATGGACTATAATAATGATGGAGGAATTTAGGGACAGCTCTGTTCCCTTCTCTGGGGCTGTGGCTTCTGCACACATGAGGCCCCCAGGGATTCAGGCTCATCCCAGCTATACTCTTCCATGATGGACTCACCTCCAGGAAGATGTCTGACACATCATGTAGCAGCAGCACCAGGGCACCAACATTCACGAAGTTGGCAGAATAGGCAAAGAAGATCAAAGTGATTGTAACAAAATGGTGGATGACCTGCCCAATGAAGTCCTGGGAAGAAGAGGGCAGTTATGAGGCCAGGACCCCACAGACTTCCAAAGGCAGTGGCTGGTTTTGTGCATGCTCAGGGTTAGTGTCTGACCCAGAGTCAAGGAATACCATTCCTCCCACCACTTCTGCCTGACTATATGAGAATCCTTTGGGGGAAGGTCCAAGTCTATTCAGGGGAGGCAGAGATTGAGGTACAAGGCAGGAGAGAAGGTACAAGGAGGAGATGAAGAAGCAGGTTCAAGTGACTGATAACATATTGGAGAGAAAGCTGGCAATTGGGTTGGATATGGACCCGGTGGTAGGAGCTCCAGAGAGAGAACTTTGGCCATTGAATTGAATAGAATAGAATTTACCCCTGAGCTTCTGGCCCCTTTATCTGGCAGTGTCCCACAAAGTACACCAAACTCAGGTAGACTAGGTCTGCCCTTACTGCTACCATGGGACAAGGCCCTGTACTCAGCCTTAGGCACTGGTCTTCAGGGCCAGGATCAAGCATGACAGTTTTTTTAATGGGGGCAGACACTAGAAGCCAGGCTCTTCTTCCTTTTACTCTTCTCCCTTCTGACTGCGAATATAAGAGTTTTCTCCAAAACCTGGGGTCCCTCCAGACTCACCTTCCTCTTCACATCGAGGGTCAGAGTGAGCAGCAAGGAGAGGTAGAAGCTGAGCTCCAGGAGGTACCACCAGTATATGGCAGGCTGCAGAGGCTGAGGGTCAAAGCAGTCACTTGATCATTGGTATTGCCCATAGATAGATACAAGGTTCAACAGGGAAATGGCTGTTCAGGAGCTCCAGTACTGCGGGACCAAACACTCGGCCTTTCCCCATTCTCCAGTCATGCTAGGCTATGGACTGTGGTTAGGATACACCTGGGACCAGTCCTCCATAAGTCAGGTCCTGCCCAGCAATCAAGTAATCAACAGGCATCTATTAAACTTACCTGTTATGTGCCGGGCACTGGGGGTACAAAGACAAAAAGGAAACAGTTCCTGCTTTCAAGAAGCTTATATTCCATTAGGGGAAACAACACGTACATGCATGCACACACACATATATGCTCACACACATATACGAATGTGTTTGTAAACATACACATATATTCACAAGGCACACACATATACATATACATTGAAAACTGAGAAAATCAAATTGATTCTATTCTGTAATTGATTTCATTTTATATCTGTACCGACATTTTGTGTAATTACCGAAGTCATGTTTCATTTATTTCTGAATTAATTTTAGTTCAGCTTTCCTGTAAAACACTCATTGTCTCTGAATTAAGTTCAGAAGCTCAGTTTTCCTGCTAGTCACTGTTTCATTCCTATGTCAAGGAAATCTGTTATCCTTGACCATTGCAGGTGGATGCTAGGGAGTCTGGTGTGTTATCTCTGCAACCCTGGCTGTTCTTTAAGTTGGTATGTTATTGCTGTGACACTCACTAGCCATGTAGGGTGTATGAAGTGTTCAAGGAGGACTAGCACCTCTAGTGTGAGGGCTTGACAAGCCCTTTTCAGGGCTACTCGTCCACTTTTGGTGTCCACCTTTTCACCTAACTCTCAGCTGTGGCTACAATGGCCACATTCCAGTAAAACCATCTTGGCAGATAAGCTAACTAGGCTGAGGGGAACCAAGAGGTCTCAAACCCACCAGTCAGTTAGGGGAATGTCTGCCCCAAGCACATGAAGATGTTCCCTGGTGAAATGGGCAGATGAGAACATTTGTTCCAACAGTCATGGCTGAAGCAGGCTCTGTGGAGTGCTAAGAGCTTGGTCAGGCATTGAAGATGCCAAGGTCATCTGCTGCAAGTCATTCTGACTTTTATCTTGCCACTGGATTTTGATAGCTCACGAAGAGAGAGTGAGGCTGATGACTGTGCAACTCTACCTCACTTAAATTCAACTGACTCGTCAAATCATTACTCGTTATGTTACTGGTCTCCTTCAGAAGTGAAGGATGACAACAACAACAATAACAACTAGCGATACAGGTGAATGCCACCAATGAGCCTTCCAAAATGATAAAAAGGAAGAGAGGTTGTTGTTAGCCCTACATTCCAAATGTCCAGCTAGTCATCTTGTCCTTGGCATCTATAATACTTCTGACTATGTAATCAGTTGTATTGGTTCCTCACCTATGATGCTGCCTTCTAGTTTGTGCTTATTTTGTCCTTAAAAATAATCTGTCAGGGGGCAGCTAGGTGGCTCAATGATAGCGCACTAGCCCTGGAGTCAGGAGAACCTGAGTTCAAATCTGGCTTCAGACACTTGACACTTACTAGCTGTGTGACCCTGGACAAGTCACTTAATCCCAATTGCCTCACCAAAAACAAAACAAAAAATCTGTCAGCCCTCATTCAGGGACTTTTACCTTACTGAGGAGCTAAAGACTCCTTTTATTGGCAACTGCTACCCTTACCAATAAATTGAACATACTCAGAACTTTGTGGCCACCATTTACCTTAATTGCAATTGCTACCATTGGTGAGTCAAATAGGAGTCAAGAGGGTGGTCATGAATGTCCAACTCCTCCTTGGTCTTGAATCCATCTGAGCTAAGGTAAGCCTCACCTTTGGTGGAGCAGGATATCCCTGAGAAATTCTTCTAAGGAAATAAGTAAGCCTCCATGCTGTTGGGGAAGTATGTAGCTAAGGTTATTGTCCACTCTGGTGGGAAAACTGATAATTAGCCAACTTGATAACAATTAAGATCCAAAGAATCTTGGCAGTCTAGGAGGATGTCTAGATAAAACTAATAAGGTGAAATTTATGAGGGGTAAATATAAAATCTTAAAAGTAAAAACATAAGTTTAAAAATCAATTTCATAAGTACAATATGGGGTAGAGGTTGATCATTATCAATTGGTCTGAAAATATCTGGGGGTTTTAATATGGCTAGCTTGGAAAAAAGAAAATGAAAGGAGGACATGGTTAATGTCTTCAAATACTTGGAGGGCCATCATGTGGAAGATGACCCCAGAGAGAAGAACTAGAGTCAATGGAAGGAAGCTACAGAGGGCCAGATTTAGGTTCAATATAAGAGCAAACTTCCTACCAAAGACAGCTGTCCTAAAGTAGATTGATCTACTTTGGAAAGGAGGAAGTTTGCCCTCTCTGGAAAACTTCAAGTAGAGAACTGCATTCATTTCCGGCCATTGCGGGGAGGGGCACAGTAGACCCTCTATTGGACTTGACTGGAATGGAATCAGGAAGAGGAGTTCAAATCCAGCCTCAGACACTTATCAGTTGTGTGACCTTGTCCAAGTCATTTAACCTGTGTCTGCCTCAGGTTCCTCATTTGTAAAACGAGGATAATTACAACATCTCCCTCACAGAATTGTTGTGAGGATCAAATGAGATAATATTTGTAAAGTGCTTTGCAAACCTTAGAGTGCTTTAAAAATGCTAGCTTTCATTGTCATCATCATCATTATTCCTAGGGCTTCTTTTAGTGGACAAATCTAGCACCAGCCCTTGTCCAGGGACTGCTCACCTGCTTAGGGTATCCATTCCACACTGTCTCTGGCTGGCCAAACCAGGTTTCCTGGAAGAAACAAGGGATATATTCTAGACACTGCTCTCAGGATCACTAGACCTCACAGGTAATGGCTCTTTTCCATAACTTTGAGTCTTTCTCCAGGGAACCCCAGGCACTCAAGAGGAATGATTACATTGCCATTTTATATTATCTCCTATATTTATCCTGGCCTTCCAGGTTCAGAACAAGTCAGAATCAAACTTATGAGGTATGACTCCTGGTTAGATGAGAGACTTGACCTTTTTTCCTTTCTACATCCCTGCAGGCCATTAGCATCCAGTTCCTCTATTAGCTCTGGAGTAGCTAGGGCTGGGTTAGAGAGGTCTGTCAAAGTGGGAAACTACTAAATGATTAGAGCATTTAACCAGTCTTTCCCTCCCCACTTCTCTCGTGTGTGTGTGTGTGTGTGTGTATGTGTGTACTTATACATGTATGTATTTGTGTATATGTATGTATGTATGTGTATGTATGTATGTATGTATGTATGTATGTATGTATGTGTTTTTACCGGTGTAATATGGCAGCCCAAAGAGCTAATTGGACATAGGGCTGTCTTAAGAGGGCATAGTTTCCAGCAATGGGAAGGAGTAGTATTGCTGCATTCTTTTCTCATCAGACCTTATGTGGAGGATTGGGTACAGTTCTTTGCACCATGGTTTAAGAAGGACATGGATAAGCTGGGCAGTGCAGAGGAGGTCAACCAGTGTGAAGAAGTAGGTGAATTTGCCTAGAACATGGCATCTATGTGGGGACTTACAGGTGATAAACCTCAAAAGACAGATGAAAGCCAGACTGTGAAGGGCTTAACAGGTCAAAGAGAACAGTTTGAATTTTATCTTAGAAGTAATAGGGAATCATTTAAGTTTCTTGACCAGGGAAGTGACATGGTCAGACAGGAATTTTAGGAATGTCTGTGTGGAAGATGGAGATAGTGGAGGCTATAGAACCAATTAGGAGGCTATTGCATTAGTGGGGAGCAGGGGTGATGAGGGCCTGAATTAGTGGGGCTGTAATGGGAGTAGAAAGATGATTTCAAGACATCTTACAGAAATAGAATCAGAAACACTTGGCAACTGATTGGACAGGAAATGGATTTAAATTCATGTCATATGAGGATTTAGTAGAGAAACTGGACATGTTTAGCTTGGAGAAGACTTAAGGGAAACATGATGACTGTCTTCAAGTCAGTTGTCCGGAGGAGGAGGAGGGATTGGCCTTGTCTTGCTCTTATGGGGAAATTCCTTTCCTGCACGGATTGGACAAGATGACTTCGATGGTCCCTTCCAGTTCTCAGGTCCCGTAATTCTGCCATCCACTCCTTCCTCCTGTCTTTCCCCACCAAGCCTGGCCTTGCTCCCTCTGAAACCCTTATTTCTATGATTGAGTAGCACTATTTCTGTTTCAATTCCTATTTGACTCAGAGCTTCTAATCCACCCTGTTTGTTGGTCAGACTAGTCAATTTAGCTATGTCCCCCCTAGAGAGTCTGTGACCTTGACTCCCCCATCCCCAACACCCCAGGGATTAAAAGTGGGGTGGTGAAAGAAGATGGAGGTTAACAGGAGGAAAAGGGATTGGGTAATAGCAATTAGGGATAGGGTAATGATGAAATAGATAAGAAGAGAAGGAAATGGAGTGAGAGAGAAAGGTAGTGGGGATAAAGTGTGTGTGGGGAACCTAAGAGGACTGAGGGCTGATTGAGAACAGACGAGCAGAATCAAGAAGAGAAGAATCAAGGGAATGGGAGTGAAAAGGACTGGGGGCCAGAAAGACAACAAAAATGACATGAGATGGAGGGGGGAGAAAGATGAAGAGAATGAAAGATGGAGAGGACAAAAAAATCACAAAGGGTAAAGAGAGAGGGATGATGAGTATGGGGACATGAGGAGGGACACAAAGGATGGGCAAAGCAAGAAGGGACAGTGTGAACAGTGTGAGAACAGAGCAAAGAGGACGGGTAGAAAGTTGAGAGGACAAAGAGATGGGAGTAATGTGAAAGAGGATGAATGAGCCAAAAAAGGCAGAAGGATGAAGATAGTGGGAATGGAAAGAATGAGGAGTCAAATGAGGAGGAATAGTCGTGCGGTGGGGGTGGGATAGGACGTACTCACATTGCAGAAGATGAGCAAGCCTCCAAAGAAAGAACACGAGTAAAATAAAAATCTGAAACTGAACATACAGAACAATGATAGAGATGAATGGATAAGGTCATATTGTTAGGGTAAAGAGATGACCAAATTGTGGGGCACCTGCTTTCCAAGTCAGGCCTCGTCCCATGGCTCACTGACCCAAGGCTAAATATCTTGGAGCTAGACTTCCATCAGGTCCCCCCAACTCACCAGCATTCAGAGAATTTCTTGCTTATTAATGGTCGTTCCTGGTTTCTCCGGTGTCGAAACCAGCGCTGGGCTTGCCTCACAGAGAGGCTGCACTGGTTGGCTAGGTGATTCAGCTCATACTGGGACAACAGGAGAAGATTGGGATTAGGGTGGACAAAGGGAGTACCTTACCTTCAGGTGACTCTACTCTCCCCTAAGCTTATACACTCTCCCTAATCAGGGAGAGCCCACTCTGCCCCCCAGGGACCTAGAGGCTTCCAAGACCATGGCATGGAACAGTCTAAAGGGCTTGAGCTTGGTCTCGAGGGACAAGTTCCAAGGAGTTGCCTTCTTCCCTTAAGCCCTACACCCCAGAGTTGAGGGGCATGTCCCCCAATCAAAGCATTCCCCAACCCAAACCCTGGTCTTTGCCATAGCCTTGTTGCCCTTTGGGGAAGAGGAGTTACACATTGGGGGGGGGTCTCTGCAATCAACTCATCAGGCACTATGGAAAGATGAAAACTAAACATTCCCTGCCTTTACTGAGCTTACTTTCTATTAGAAGGAGACAACATATGTACATGTAAAATATTCATATACAATGTAAAATAGAAGTAAATAATTATGAAGTAATTTCAAGAGAATATTAATGATTTTTTGGGAAAATTGGGAAAAGTTTTTTGAGGGAGCTGGAAGCCTTGAAGGGAGTTGGGGTTTCCAAAGTAAAATGAGAGCATTTCTGGAGAATAAGAGGAGCATTCCAGGGGGACAGCCAATACAATGGCATGGGGGTGGAGGATGGAATATCAAATACAAATAACAACAAACAGATGAATTGGGGAAGCACAGTGTGTGGGGGGGTAATGATATGCAATAAGTCTTGAAAGGTAGATTGGAGTCCAATTGTAAAGGGCTTTACATGTCAAAGAGAACCATTTGAAGTTTATCTTAGAGTCAATAGAATCACTCAGGGATAGGTTTGGCATAGCCAGACGTGAGCTTTAGGAATGCCTGATTGGTGGCAGCTGGAGCATGGACTGTACAAGGGAGGACAGTGAAGGCAATGGAACAAATTAGGAGGCCATTGCAATAGTGAGGGTGAAGAGCAGATGTGGTGAAGGCCTGAATTCAAGTGGCTGTAGGAGGAGTGGAGAGAAGGGGATGGTTTCAGGAGAGGTTATAGAAGCAGAATCAACAAGAATTGATGACTGATTGAATATGGAGATGAGGTATTGGGGATGACTCTTATGGAGAAAACTCATGTGTACAGGACATAGAATGGGGAAGCTGGAAATGATATCAGAGATCATGCCTTCATTTTATAGATGAGAAAACTAAGGCTCCAAAAGAAAGTCAAGTGACTTGACTAAGGTCACAAAGCAAATACGGGGCAGAAGTAGGATTAGAATCCAGGTCTTGTGAGCTCTTAATCCCCTCTGAGGTTAGAGGTTGGTGGAACTTGATGCTCAGAGTAAGTATCACCCTCTCTAGAGGAAACAGCAACAAAGAGAGTAGGTGTCTGAGTGCTTCTTGGGTACATAGCACCTCCCATCTCCCCTACTTCTTATTCAAGGACCACTGAATAGCAGGGACTGTCCTGTTGAAGGGGATGGAGGCTTAAACCTTCTAGAATCCTTAACAGCATCCAAACCTGGAGCCTGCTCACCTTTTCAGGATTTTTTCTCTGTTTCTGGAAAAATGACTCCAGGATGGGGTTGGGCGTAGCACTGATTCTGATGGGATTACGCACACCCAGGGCTCTGCTCAAAGGTAGCCCTATGGCTCTGTGAGAAGAGATAGGAGGAGTTGAGTACATAGTAACTCTCTGGTTTATGGCCCTTTGGGAGCTCTCTGTCAAATCTTGCCCATCAACTGACCTACCATAGCTGGATTGGCATAGCTTGAGGGAGCAGTGTTTTCCAATTTAGCTGGAACTGAATACATGAGGCAGAGAAATGCTAAGGCATCACCCCATTTCTTATGGCCCAATTATATCCTATCATATTTCTGTGACTGAGATTCACTACGTGGAGATGTGGAGATGTGCATCTGGATCTGGAGAGGAATGTAGAGAAACTGGAAAAAATTTGACTGAACTGATGCAGAATAAAGCAAAACTCCTAAAAACAGCATGCACATTGACTACAATAATGTAACTGGACCTGAATGCTAGGTAATTCTATGACAAATCTTGCCTCCTTTCTCCCTTGAAGAAATGAAGAAATTGACAGGTCCCTGTCTTCCTTATAGATGTGGGGGCCTATGGATGCAGAACGTTGCATACACTGTTACATGTGGTTGCTGCATTGGTTGGTCTTGATTAGCTTTTTTCCCCCCTTGTTACAAAGGAAGGTGTACACTGAATAAGTTGGGAAGAGGGGAGGTTATAGCCTGAAAGAACTGTAAAAATAAAAGGGATCAACAAAACCTTAATTTTGTTTGTACAAAAGGGGGTAAAGAGACCCTGCACAGTTGACTCACCTCTCAGCACCATATCTAATGACAATTAAGACAAACGTCAGGGGAATGGCTGCCAGCAGGTCTTTGGGATGAGGGTATGTGATGCCATCTGAATCTTCCAAGTCAGCCCAAGTGTGCCCAGGGGGGATCCAGTATTCAGTGTTCCAAAATGACTCGTACAGGGTTTCCAGCATCCTGGGGTTAAGGCATCAAATGTCTCAAGAGGGACTGGCAGGGAAAAGCATGTATCGATTATTCAAACACTGTCCAACAGAGTCAGTGCACCCAGATCATCAATTTTAGAAACAGAGAATGTCATAGCTATAAGAGACCTTAAGGAAGTCTAACTACTTCATCTTACAGAGAGAGAACTTGAGGCCCCCAAATAGGAGGAGACTTACCCAAGGTCACACGGTGAGTCAGTGACAGAGCTGAGCCTAGAGCTCAGGTTTTCTGATTCCCTGTCCAGGGCTATTTCTACTGCATTTGTCACCCAAAAGGCTTGTGAGTTGGGGGGTTAGGGGGTGGGTGAGAACACATTGGCCAAGCAGTTCTCATCTAACATGCTGGCTGCTTCCTGAATCTTCCTTGGCATAGGAGACCCAGGTGTCCTAGTCTGTCCAGCACCTGCTTTAAACAGCTTAACTCAGGGCAGAAGTGCTTCTGATGTGACCATGGATTGCCAAGGTGGCAGAGGTTAGGAAAGGCAGCTTCCCAAGGAAGGAAAACAGATCCCAGAACCAAAGAACTGGCAGGGTCCATAAAACTCAGAATGCCAGAGGTGGAAGGCTCTTAGTGAATGTCAGAGCTAAGAGGGTTCTTAGAATAAAAAAGAGAATGACAGAACTAGGCAACCATTGATTTGAAGCAAGAAGAGTTATCTCCCCATCACTGAAAGTATTCAAGGAGAGGCTGGGTGACGACCCCTGTTGGTGACAATGTAGGAGAAGATTCTTGCTTCAGGTGAGAGTTGTACTAGACCCTGTCCCAGGGCCTGTCCAGCTCTGTCACTCTGAGCTTCCTCTACAGCTTTACCTGGTCCCTTCCCCCTCCCCCATCTTCACCAATGACCCCTCTGCAGGCTGCTAGTGAGGAGTGCTTGGGACATAGGCTCTGTGGCCTCACCTCCCTGAGTTCAGGAAGACTCAAAGGTACCTCCTTCCCCTGAATGTCCTTCTGCCCCCAAATGGCAGTGACTGGTGAGATCAAGGAAGGCTTTTGTGGCTGCCCACTGAGAGGCCAGGCCATCGTCCCATTTCCAGAGAAAGACCCTGATTCTCCTTACCTGAGGATGGTGTCCCTCCTTATATAACATGTCCCTTGTCTACCCTGGGCCAGAAGCAGCACCCAAAATAGAATGTAAATTCTTTGTGGGGCCAGAGCTGGTTTATTTTTCTTTGTTTTGTTCATATGCCACTAATTCCTAGAATAATACCTGGCAACTCATTTTCACTTACTGAGAATCTTAGACTTGAAAGGATTGGATATGAGGGATGAGAAAGACTGAGAAATTGATGATAATGCTAAGGTTTCAAAACTGGGTGACTTGAGGTCAGGGGAATGGTTTTACCTGTCTTGGTTTCCCTGGTGCTTAGCCCTGGTTCATAATTAAGAGTTTAATAAATGCCTTGTTGATTTGACTTCACTGAAATGATGTCTGTGCCCTCTACTGGGCTTTGATAAATTCTGAAATCTATTCTCATCATATCCTCTCTCTCTCTCCCCCTACCTCTCCCCCAGCTTTTTGGCCTTTCTTTGTTTCCCCAGAACTTAGCATGGCCTGGCACAAAGTTTTTTTAATATATGCTTGTTCAGTAACTGATTATCTAGGGTATGTGCCAGATATTTCCATCTTTACTTTCTTCATGTCTCATGAACTCGAGGATGAAACTCCTTCTTGTTGACCAGAGAAATCTCCAGCTTCACTCCCTCCATCTGAGATAAAGTTATCCTCAAGCCAGGCCAGGCATATATGTTACCTTCCTTGCTTTAAGCTTCCCCAAGATGGTGCCAGTTGTGTAGGTTTGATGAGGAAGGCATCCAGCAGCCACATTAATCAGTACAATGTGGGCTACCTAGAGCATCAAGCAGAGGCATCAGACAGGGCATTCTTCTAATTCCCCTGGGCC